AGGCCCATCACCATTGTTCTGTGAAACACGGAAAAGCATTTCTTGCCAGGTTACCAACTATGTTTACAATTTTTAAATGTTATGTTATTCCATGACCGTTTGGAATTTTTATAAGCGATCTTGTCCATGCATTGCATGGTTATCGTACATGTATTCTACCAATTTTAATGTTTTTTACCCCACTAATAGCTAAGCTGGAATATTTTTGTCTCGGACGGTATGCGCGGGGCAAAGTGGCCGGGGCAAAGTGGCCGGGGCAAAGTGGCCACCCCCCAATTGGCCATAAGTTCCTTCCATCTGGGTAAAGAACATTATTTATATTCAAATGTGTCGTCATACATTCATCTTGGCCACTTTTCAGTTGCATGAGTTACCAAATAATGCAATTAAATGTTTATTTTTATCAAAATCCTTTCTTTGTTTACCTACAGGTGGAAGATGATAAAGTAAGCATCCATCCTCGCTTAACCTTGTCACCATCAAATACACTAGTCGTACACGAGGCAGCTATTTTGTTTCTCATATCGGGACTTGAGAAGACGCCGGTGGCCGCTTTGCCCCAGGGTATGGGGCAAAGTGGCCAATATGCATAGGTTTAAAGTTTTGTCAATATCTTTCATATGTGAACGTCTTTGGAAATAAAACGCAATTGAAATAAAAGGCAACTTACTAGGGATCACATTGGTATAGAAAGAATCTTTCCAAGTTTAAAAATCAAGCGTTGGCATCGTGAGAAGCGTTAAGGTGGCCGCTTTGCCCCACTCTCCCTTATTGCGATGTTTTGTATGCATACGGGCAGACAAGCCGTTGCTCCCGATGGAACTGGCTAGCAAGGTCACAATCAGTGTGTTGGAGGCCTGTGAGAGTCGAAGCCAAAAGACTAACCTGGCGATAGGTGATTTGCATTGGGCAGGTCAGCATGTGAAGTTCGTGACACAGATCATTATTCCTTCTCCACCGAGGGACTTTGACAAGCTTCTTGAGACAGCTGTGGTATGCTATACTGACAACTCTCGAAACGTTTGCTGGTCACGATACACGTTCCAGAGCTCACATCCATACAGGTTGGTGCAGTACGATTTGAAGAGCTTCGTCAGTACACTTTTGTCGGCAAAGCCAATAGCTGCTGATAGCATGTTTACATTGGTAGAAAGCGCTCTTTTAACCCTCGCCGGCCGAGGGGGGTCGTACCCGCCCCCCCCCCCCCGATAGTTTTTTTTTTCGCGATAGCTCCGAATACGCTGGCGATAGAGAGCTGAAACTTGGCAAACCTGAACTTTGATTCAAGCCGGATCTTTTGACACCAACCGCATTTTTGGGTCAGGTCAGGTCACTGACCTATGACGTCATAAGTGAACCTCTGCACAGTCTTCAGATGTCGCAACTTCGCAACGCCCTCACTGCCAGAGGAGATGTCACAGGGAAATGAAACTTGCAGGATCTAGTATCCATTATGAGTCTCACAACTTTTTTATCTCGTATTTTTCCTAAAGGTCATATGAGGTCAAGTCATTTTCGTGACCTCACCATTATAAGTCAATGGGGAAAAATGAAAACTGCTATTCTGGCGCCGGGAACGATCTCCAACTATCTCAAGCACACCGAATCGTGATTTGATGCACCCCTTGCAAGGTTCGATGCGTCACTTTTGCAATGTTGACCTTGTGTGACGTCATTTATGACGTCATCAAGGTCATATTAGTTTTTCGTCAATAACTCTTGATCAAACTGAGCTAGCGAGTCGGGAAAGCCACCAATGGACTCAGGAAGACCTGCCGAATCGAATGATATGCGACATGACCTCTTTCGACCAACTTCGTGACCTGGGGGTGCTGACCTGACCTTGACCTGAGTCAACACCCTAAGTTGACCTGACCCGAACAAAAAGTATATCATTCGACGCGCCTGAGCGAGGTAAACACGATGCTGCCAAAATCGCGGCTCTGCGGCCGTTTTTTTTTGCGAAGTTAGTCACCAAAAACTGAACCGTACCTTGGGGCACTTGACCTGACCTCAGAGGTCACCGGTTGACCTAGGACCTTAAAATCGGGTACCAATCTCTGCGTCTCGTAACGGCGCACACGCTCGTTTTTTCCGCGACGCGCTAGCTCCACCAGGGGCGAAACGGCGAGGGCGGGGGGGGGGGGTCGTACCCGCCCCCCCCCCCCTTCGGCCGGCGCGTATGTAGAAAACCAATAGGTCCGGCGAGGGTTAACACGGCGCATGTCGTCGATGTCGCGCAGATCATCACGAATTACATGACCCAGGTACTTAAAGACGTCACCCATCTTAACTGCTGGCCAGAAAGTAGCAACGAAGGAGGTCTGGAATTAACCAGTTGAGTGGCCGAGTACGGTTTTCGAGGGAGAAACTGCATACACACAGATGTAAGGGGGTTAACTTCAACGTCGAGAAGATGAGCTTGCCTATTGCACTCATTTACAATTGTCTGCAACGCTTCCCTCGTGGGGGCCAGAAGCACAATGTCATCAGCGTATGCCAAAATGTTCGTTGCACATGCACCTACGCGACAACCAACACTCCTTTCTCGCACTTTGCACAGAATGGAGTCAACGTACACACTAAATAACAACGGAGAGAGGATGCCCCCATGCCTAACGCCATTGCCAGCATGAAATTTTTCGGAGGTAAGACCGTCCCATTTAACACCCTATGTCTGCATCCTGTACCAGTACAGCAACAGTTTGAGGTATTGTGATAACTGATATAACTGACATAACTGATATCGGGGAGATCATCTGATGGTGTACTGTAAAGCTGGTCCAGATGCTGCTGGTCACTGCCACAACTGTGGTCGTTAAAGATTTCTGAATGTGGTTCTTCCACATCCTAACAATGTTAGAGCTCTCGGTAACCTCTCCAAAGGTGACTGAGAATATATAATTTTCCCGAAATTTATAATTTTCATGATGACTACGATCATTTCTCGTCCCCATCCTACCAGGCTTTTTGCCATTTACACTAATGATGATAGGAAAAAGTAGATTTTTATTGGGTCTAGGTGTTTTGAGAGTGAAACGTATTCAGCGTTCCCATTTTTGGATACTTACTTGTGCTGGTCAACTAGCAATGTTAAGCAGACAGGTGCTTGACATGCCTCCACCCTTGGCGGGGACGGCGGATAAAGGTATGGCAGACCTTGGTGAACAAACAGAACCGGGCCCAAATGCAACAATTTGTGGTGGCCCGTAAGCCAAATTACCAATTACCAATTACAATGGTTCCCAGTTTCCACGCGTCTGGAAGGGAGCCACTATTGAGGGACTTCTGGAACAGTGAGCAGACGGGTGAACTGATTGCGGCCGCGAGCTCTCGTAGGACCCTAGAGTGAATACCATCAAGACCAGGGGGAGGGGGGGTGGAGGTTTTGAGGCTCTCCCTCTAAGGTCCTCTGACCTCTCGTTAACCCTCGCCGGCCGAGGTGGGGGCGGATGCCGCCCTACGTAGGTCAGGTCACTGACTTACGACGTCATAAGTGAACCTCTGCACGGTGTTCAGATGTCGCAACTTCGCAACGCCCTCACTGCTAGAGGAGCTTTCACAGGGAAATGAAATTTGCGGGATCTAGTATTCATTACGAGTCTCATAACTTGTATATCTCGGATTTTTTTCCCTAATGGTCATGAGGTCAGGTCATTTTCGTGACCTCACCGGTCATTTTCGTGACCTCACCATTATAAGTCAATGGGGAAAAACGAAAACTGCTATTTTGGCGCCGGGAACGATCTCCCAACTATCCCAAGCACACAGAATCGTGATGTCATGCACTCACTGCAAGGTTCGATGCGTCACTTTTGCAATGTTGACCTTGCATGACGTCATTTATGACGTCATTAGAGTCATATTAGTTTTTCGTCAATAACTCCCGATCAAATTGAGCTAGCGAGTCTGGAAAGCCACCAATGGACTCAGGAAGACCTGTCGAATCGAATGATATGTGACACGACCCCTTCGACCAACTTCTTGACCTGGGGGGCGCTGACCTGACCGTGACCCGAGGTCAATACCCTAAGTTGACCTCACCCAAACAAAAAGTTTATCATTCGATGCGCCTGAGCAAGGCGAACACGATGCTGCCAAAATCGCGACTCTGCGGCTGTTTTTTTGCGAAGTTATTCACCAAAAACGGAACTGGACCTTGGGACACTTGACCTGACCTCAGAGATCACCGGTTCACCTAGGAATTTAAAATCGGGTATCAATCTCTGCGTCTCGTAACGGCGCTTACGCTAGTTTTTTTCTGCAGCGCGCTAGCTCCACCAGGGGCGAAACGACGAGGGGTTTCGTACCCCCCCCCCCCCCTCGGCCGGCGCGTATATAGAAAACCAATAGGTCCGGCGAGGGTTAAGCTCGAAATCAATGCTGGCGCGCCATAAATCGCCAACCGTTACAGCCAGCAAACAGGTGATTTCCTCGCAGAAATGTTCCCGTGGCTCCTCTAAAACGGCTCTTCTCGAAGCTCATCCAACCTCCTCAATAACACTTAACAGTCAGTGCAACCGATTCAAAATTAAACCGCTGCTGCTAAAATAGCCATGCGTTGCGACCAATTATGAAAAAACATGTGTTTGCGTAAATTTATACATTTAACACTTTCTAATCATAAACATCTTAAAAGGCACTTAAGAAGACTGTGAGTAGCTAGATGTAATGCAAATCTAGGGGTAAAATCACGCTCGTTTTGGATACTTTCATGTAATTACTAAGAAGTATTGTAAGTACTTATTCAACCGTCATTCTCAGCGCTCTGCGCTAGAGTGACTGTGGTGAGATATTAGCGGCAAGGTACCGATGTGAGTAAAATTGTTTCGATAGATACGCAACTCTTTCATATGGCTCAAGAACGTGAAGATGAAGTGATAATTATTATGTGCCACAGCGGCTTCAGAAGTTTTTGTGTCTCCTGTGAAATTCTAGGAGCAGCACTTGATGATATTCTTACCATCCCATTTTCACTGGCTTTGTGTTTCAGCGTAAACATGGGCAAAAAGCGACGTCTTGAAGAGGATGACTCCGAGCGTGACCTGGCGTCCGCTGGGGTCCCATCGTCTCTTGCGGCTAGTCGGCAACGACGCCTGATCGTCATTCTTGAAGAAGCTCAACTAGAAACTGTTAAAATCGGCCGTAATTTCGAGCTGCTGAACTCTGACGACCACGCGGGTTTTCTGCGGAAGAACGGCCGGGACATCGGCTCGAGTCGACCAGACATAGCGCACCAGTGCCTGCTGATGCTCATGGACAGTCCGCTGAACCGCGCCGGCCTCCTGCAGGTCTACATCCACACTCAAAAGAACGTGCTGATCGAGATCAACCCGCAGACGCGCATCCCGCGCACCTTCCGTCGTTTCTGTAACCTGTTTGTGCAGCTGCTGCACAAGATGAGCATTCGCGCGGAGGACGGCAATATGAAGCTCATGAAGGTCATCAAGAATCCGGTTACAGATCACTTGCCAGTGGGCATCAAGAAGATCGGTTTCTCATTCAGTGCTACAAAGGTGGTGCGTCCTCGTGAATTAGCACCTGACGAGGGCCCAGTGGCAGTAGTGGTGGGCGCTATGGCCCACGGAAAGATCCGCGCGGACTATACGGAGGAGTTTGTCAGCATCTCCAGCTACCCTCTTTCAGGTGCGCTGGCGTGCTCCAAGCTTTGTGATGGTTTTGAGGAGGCTTGGGGCGTCCAGTGAATCGTGGGCATGACGATGCGGGTGGTAGGGTGGGGGATTCATTTTTAATGCAGCATGAACAGAAGTGTTCTACGCAATACACATGCTTCACTCGTCCGTCAATTAGTGTACTTTGTGTAACCGAAAGTTTGTTGTCAATAGTTGCCGGTCCCGTAGCTCAGTTGGTTAGAGCGTTGGACTCCGCGTGGCGAGAGCACGCGTCCCCGGTTATGACAGTCCGGGTTCGAGGCGCGACGGGCGCTCGACATTTATGGGCCTCCTGGCAGGTATGGTTGCGGTTGGTGGCAGGCCGTAGCCAGGCGAAGTCAGCGAGGGGACCGGCCGTGCGCGGCTTTGTGCGCACGTTAAACTTTGGACTCTAAATTCTGCCATAGCACCGGAATTGCGCGATCGGAGGGTAGAGGGCAGGGTCATCGCAACAAGCTTTGCTTAGCGGTGGCTCTGTCCTTGTGAATCCTTCCCATCGAAAGGTTCGGACTAAATTTATAAAAAAAATAGTTAAAACACTATTCTTTAGAATGTGTTTTTCTATTGAAAAAAAAATATGAGTTCCCTGACAATTTGGCAAAAGCTGCCTAAGATAAGCATTTCGTTTCGTGGTACACGTTTGTCGTGGTAACTGCTCAACAACATTTTGGGGCTTCGATTTGATATAATTACATAGCGTGCGGTTAAATGACAAATCGGCACTGTTATTCCTTCTCCCAGGCAGTCGGATTTTGGGCCGGAAAAGGAGAGGGTGCATACACCTTAGTGCCTCACCGTTGAAATTCAGATGAAAATTTCAGCCAAACGTCTTCAGCTGAAACGTACGCTCATTCCCCCAGAATATCTCTGAAACCAAGCGTCGTAACCAGTGGCGTATCCAGGGGGGGGGGGGGGTCCTGGGGGTCCTAGGACCTCCCTGGAGCCTAGAAAGTTTTTTTTTTTAACTCGGAAAAAATGAAATGACTACGAGGGCCCTTTTGACCACTTTCCTTTTTTTGGCATACTGAAAAAGTACTGGGGTACTCTTTTAGGGACCATTTGAGGACTATCAGAGGGCACCTTTAGGCCAATGAGGGACCTTGTGAAGTAAACGGAGGGCCCTTTGGAACGAACAGGATCCTCTCAGGCACACACACAGAGGGCCCTCTCAGGCACACACACAGAGGGCCCTCTCAGGCACACACACAGAGGGCCCTCTCAGGCACATTGAGGGCCCTCTCAGGTACACCGAGGGCCTTTTCAGGCACACCGAGGGCCCTCTCAGGCACAGAGGGTAATCTCAGGTACACAGACGGCCCTCTCAGACACACAGAGGGCCCCCTCAGGCCCAAGAGGGCCCTCTCAGGCCACAGAGGGCCCATTAAACCGCGCCCCACTGGGGTCTGTGCATAACAAGCCCCACTGGGGGGGGGGGGCTATTCATAGCCCCCTCCTAACTCTGAAATTACTGGGCCGATCGTCAAAATTCAAACGGCATCTGATAGCCCCGGAAAAACTGTCGAGCGAAGCCTAATTTTATTGACCTCCTCGAGGTCACCGATGACGTCACAGGTCAGGTCAAAGTAAAAATTATCGATATTTGGCTTGTTCACTTTTTAGGCTCTGGCTGCCGTCTTACAAGTCAGATCAGGCTGATTTTTTGTTTACACACTCGTGAACAGATGCTTTAGATACCCTGAGGGTACGAAACTTGTACTTTGATTTTCAGGTCAGGGTCAGGTCATCATAGGTCACGGAAATCTTATGTCATAAGTGGGTCACGTGACGCATGTTTTATGGTCAATTTAGGCCATAGATTTCTAATTCGGTGTTGCCTGTGTCATTTGAGGCCACTTTCATCTGAATATAGCTGAGTTCAGGTCACTTTCAGGTAAAAAAGGTCAAATTTCAAAGCTGAAATTTTTCAACTAAAAACATGTCTATCAGATTCAGTTTAAGCTTAGGAACACGAAAGCGCTATTTATATTGGTGTACGATGTCAAATTCGTACAGAAAAATTGATTTGAAAAATTTAAAATTTTGAAATTTTTGCTATAATGCGTATAACTTGGCCATTTTTGAAGATATCTGGCTAAAACTTATTAGAGTAGGTCATAGGCATGTGTTCTATCATGAATTTGCCGTTTTTTTCGAAAAGTAAAATAAATGAAAAAAGATAAAAAGATTTGAATTTTAATATACATTTTTTTTCGAAATTATCGAAATTTTGAAAATTGGATATACCAGTTTGATAGCGTAATCCATTCTGAGTCCTCTCATGCAAAGAAATTGGATCTAGCTCAAAAACTGAGCTCTTGGGAGCGATTCCCGTGGTTCAATGTTTTGCGTCGAAATCGGCCGAACATGACGTCACTCTGACGTCATTTCCGGCCGATCTATGATAGATACGAAGTTCAAATTTTGACACAAGGTGTCAAATTAATGCAGCCGAAGGTACTGAAAGTTTGGCGGCGATACGTCAAGCGGTTTAGAAGTTATTGCAGAAAAACGGGAGGGGCTATGAATAGCCTCCCCCCAGGGGGGGCGCGAGCTAAGACGATCAGAAAGCCCCATGAGGTATACGGGTCATTTTCAGGCCACAAGGTGTCCTATGAGGCCAGCAAACGCTCCTTTTAGATCAAAGGTGGTTCCTGGAGGTCACCAGAGGGCCCTCTGAGGCGAACAGAGGGCGCTCTCATCCACCACAATGAGGGCCCTCTGAAAATCAAAGGGCCCTCGGAGGTCAACAGAGGACCATCTCAGGCATCGCCCCAAAGCACAGTGATGCAAATGGGGCTCACGACTTGGCCATAAATACCGATAAGGCCCAAATTTCAAGTTCACCTAATCGAATAAATCGTAATATGGCCAGTTAGGCAAATGTCTGGGGTGTGTCAGAAAACATGATTTTCATGTTTTTGTCAAAACCGGCCTCGTGTATGATTGTCAGAAGTCGTGACATTTTCTATGTCGTAAAATGACTGTCAGATACTCGCAACTTAAAACGCCGTTAGCGTGCGTTTATTTCATACAAATGGCAAAAATTGTACATGGCAATGATCCTTTGGTTTGGCTGGTTTGGCGTTGATCTAACTATTTGTCATCATGCTGCAATCGCAGTTTTTTTTATTATTTAAAAATATTTGCTTTCGTTTCACCTACAGCAGTGTACACAGTGTGTGCCCGTTAGTGCACCATACCATAGCATTCCCTAATCATTTCTGAGCCGCACTGTGAAAGAATGAAGGCGCTAGCACAGGGCTAACCGGTGCTACTAAAGTTTTCGTCCGTTGCGGTCGGGTGCCGCGGCGCGGTGGGCGGCCTGGGCGGCCGCGCCGCGGGCGGGCGGCCACAGCGGGGGTTCGTTCGTGCATCCCTCTGCTGTTCCTAAACTAAGTGTTCTAGCGCCTTGCGACAAAAAGCCAACGGATTGCTCTTGACAAGATCTCGCGAGTGAGCATATCATTTTTGAGTTAAGGTCAATATTTGACCTACTTATAGCAGGTCAAAGTTAAACGTCTGTCGAAATTGCAATCCGCGGTGAAAGCAATCCGCCCCGACCGCGACACCCGACCGCGCCGAACAAAAACTTCAATAGCGCCGGTCTGCCCTGTGCTAGCGCCTTAATCCTTTCACGGTGTGACTCAGAAATGGTTAGGGAATGCCATGGTATGGTGCACTAACGGGCACACACTGTGTAAACTGCTGTAGGTAAAACGAAAGCAAATATTTTTTTGGTAAAAAACTGCGATTGGATAGTAACATGATGACAAATGATTAGATCACCGCCAAACCAAAACAGATGCGGCTTTTGGTGACCCGGTATGAGAAGCAGCAGGCTTTGGGGATCATTGACATGCATAGTTTTTGCAGTTTGTATTAAAGGTAGTGCGCCACCTTCCAATGATTTCCCATTTTATTTTTCCTAGGATAAGAAGCTTCTGTTTTTACCTAATATCGCAAAAAATATCAAAAATGGGCCTAGAATAGTGCTTTTTTCGCCTAAAAGTTTATCGGTTTTTCGATATGTATAACAACTGTAGTGGGCTGACCTGCAAACAGGCGTCGGCAACAATCGCGAATGCGGCGCACATGTGACAATAAGCAAAGGTCATTATAGAGTTACGACGTACGGGAATGAGTTATCAGCTGTCTTATCGTAGACAACACAGTGTCGAATTTAAACTGTAAGCCTGTATTGGTATTGTTTCTTTAATTTGGATGTCGAACATTAATTTATGTTTTGAAATATTATTTTATGTAAAATAATTGATATGAAACAGCCGTCTCTAAAGTTATGACCCCATCTCACCACATGAAAGTGGCAGCCAAATGACAATGATCAGCTGACGCATTTTTCTTGGCCGAAGTCAGAGCGCGCGGCCCGACGCACCACCACCGCACCACAAAGTATGAGCAGAAGCCACCTGCGGTAGACCGCGCCCAAAGCCAGGGCCCCGGTAACGTGAGGTAGCCGAGTCGGGGCAGCGTGCGCTGACCCAAGCCGGGGCCGCGGCTTTGGGCGTGGTCTACCGCATCTCCGGGCAGCCCCGGGCTATCACACGACACCGGGAGGACGCGCGGACCCGGCTTGGGCCAGCGCACGCTGCCCCGACTCGGCTACCTCACGTTACCGGGGCCCTGGCTTTGGGCGCGGTCTACCGCACCACCTAACAGGCGTGTTCGAAACCGCAGGAGATGATGATGAACGGGTTTATCGAAACTTGATTGGATGAGCCTATCGGTAAAAGCGATTTCAGTGTGTGCATTTATTGTTAATAGTGGTGTGAAATGTGGTTGTGGTACGACCGACAACCCGTCGGGGCGAATTTCGCACTGGGGTACTCAAAATTTGAAGAATTTAAGACGTTTCCATGAGTTTTGAAGGTATGGATAAGTTCTAAAAATCTGGTTCTCCTTATCTGGGCCATTAACTCCATACGGCCCAGGAAAGCTGGCACACTACCTTTAAATGAACGCACGCTAGCGGTGTATGAACTTGCAAGTATCTGACAGTCATTTTACAACATAGA